GTTTGAGAGAATATGCACTTAAAAGAAGGCATCAATACATTTTCTTCAATATACAGACTTGTCACTATAATTTGTGATGTAGCGCTTTTCCGTCTTTTCAAACCAGTAAGATCGAAACCGTTACATGAGGAAAAGAGGAAATTCCTTCCTGTTCATTTTATCAAAAGAGGAATTGATGTAATCAACATCTGCAACGTTCTACATCACAAGGAGGTAACATCTGAAATTCCTATTTATTTTCAAAACCAGTCTGTTCCTATTGTATCCTACAGTTTCACCAAAACCACTGCACCTAAAGTATTTAATTATAAACAAGCATTGCAGGACATTGACTTAGAACGATACCTAATCAACCCTCTGACATGTGACTGTTCCCACTCGCCTTATAATTACAGCTACTCTGGCCATGTCATTACTGGGGATCTAAACATAATTCAACATGAAAATCTCCGAAAGGTGATTTCTCATGGTCCTAAGTTTAGAGAACCCCAACACATTAATTGGAACCATAACTTCAAAATAATTATGGATTCCATTGAGGACTACGCCAGAGCATTGGCTAAACGAGAAGAAGTTGAACTGGACACTTTGTCAGAATGGGTCAAAACTATCAGGTCTCTGATAAAACGTCGCATTTATAAGTTGAAAAACTGTGTGAATGATTGACCAAAGTCCGTTTTCAGAGACAAAAGGGCCGTGAAATGTCTATCATCTCTTCATGATAAGTATGTTGTTGTTCCTGCGGACAAAGCTTCAAGTGATACTGCCTTTGTATGTAAATCGTATTACTACGAATGTCTTGTAAAAGAATGAGGAATACATGAGCACTCAGGTAATCCCACATACAATGACATATCATTTGACAAGGATGAGATTTTGGCAAATCAAAGGTCCTTCATGGCTTCAATGAACATTACATTGAACAACAAATCGGAGAATTTACCTTGTTTGTATTGGATACCTAAGCTTCACAAAATTCCGTACAAACAACGGTACATTGCCGGCTCATCTGCATGTTCCACTAAAGAATTGTGATTTAGATTGACTAGAATTCTGTCCGCAGTGAAAGAGGGTCTTCAGAAATACTGTGAAACTGTTTACTCGCGTAGTGGTATTAACCATATGTGGATTCTTAAAAATTCTAAAGAACTTCTGAATATTTTTAAATCTCGGTCTTTTTCTGAAATTAGTTCTATCAAAACTTTTGATTTTTAAACCCTGTATACCACCATTTCCCATGTGAAATTGAAAAATCGCCTGATAGAAATAATCCACAATGCCTTTCAACATAAAAATGGTAGCATACGCTATAAATGTATTACTTTGGGATATCATAAGGCATATTTTGTTAATAGTGAACAAAAGGGTAAAACATGTTACACAGAGGAACAAGTGATCAGTATGCTGGAGTTTCTTATCGACAACATATTTGTTGAATTTGGAGGTAGACTTTTTCAACAAATTGTTGGCATTCCTATGGGAACGAACTGTGCGCCTCTCCTTGCCGACCTCTTCTTATTTTCATATGAATCGGAGTTCCCTCAGACACTTGTCAAAAACAAAAAGATCAAAGAAGCCAGATTATTTAATTTCACTTTCAGATATATTGATGATGTTCTTTCCAGTAACAATCCGAACTTTTCTGATTGGGTTCCATTAATATATCCCCCAGAACTAGAAATTAAAGAAACAACAGACACGGCTTCCTCCGCCTCATTTTTAAACTTATAACACGAATTTGACATACACAGTCATCTCAGTACCAGAATCTATGACAAACGAGACGATTTTAATTTGAAATTATCAATTTCCCCCACCTTAGTAGCAATATACCAACTTCACCTGCATATGGGATATACATTTCCCAACTTATTCGATATGAAAGAGCTTGCAGCTCCTACTCAGACTTTGTAAAACGTCACCAGTGTCTGAGCAGAAAGTTGATGAACCAGGGGTATGTCAATGAACGTCTCGTCCTTTTTCATAAATAGTTCATCGGAAGGTACCAAGACCTTGTTGATAAATATTCCATATCAACTTCCAAATAATACATGATGGTCTTGATGTATAGATTCTGCGTACTGACGTTGCTTATCATCTTAATAACGTGTTATATTGTTCTTTTATTTGTCTTTGTTCTATTATTAATATTACTTTTACTGTTTGGTCTGTTTTCTGTGATATCAATTTGACGTGGCTCGGTACTTATACATCCCATCAATGTGTTTGCATTATCTTTCATTTTTACTGGTATGTTTTGTACGTGTGATTTTATGTGTTTCTTTGGTACACATGACGTGGCTCTGTACTTTTAAAGATCCCACCATCTTGTTATTGTTCTATTATAATACCATAATGTAATTGTTCTATTATATTTTTGAAAATACTTTGAACGACAAAATTATTTTACTCGCGTAGTGGTATTAACCATATGTGGATTCTTAAAAATTCTTAAGAACTTCTGGATAATTTTAAATCTCGGTCTTTTTCTGAAATTAGTTCTAACAACCCCTATATTCCACCATTCCCAATGTGAAATTATAATTTTGAAAATACTTTGAACGACAAAATTATTTTATATTCTTCCAGTGTGATGTTTACATTTTCTGGAGTCAAACACAACTCTACACTAAGAGTAGATGTGAATGCAGTCACAGGACTTTAAATATTTCAATCCTTTATGGGTTGATTTATAATACATATATAAGTAAGCGATGAATGTTGTTGTTATATTTGATAGATGCTTTTTGTGCTTCTTTGTTAAATGTTTGTTTGTTTTGAGATTGTGACACAATGATGACTGTTGTACCCATATTTTGACAATGTTACCTATTATATCTGTTTTGTTCACGCATCGTTGTAAATATATGGAATTTGATGCGACTGTCATACAAGTGAGAGGTTTAGCGCTATAAAACAAGGTTCAACCCACCATTTTCTACATTTGAAAATGCCTGTACCAAGTCAGGAATATGACAGTTGATGTCCATTCGTTTGATGTGTTCTATCATTTGATTTTGCCATTTGATTAGGGACTTTCCGTTTTGAATTTTCCTCGGAGTTCAGTATTTTTGTGATTTTACTTTTTGCTTGTGTTGACTAAGTTATTGCAACTTTATAAATATTTGAAAGAAGATCATAAAAACGATAGGTCCCTTCAACTATGTTTGTTTCGTCGTTTTTAGTTTTTTTTTTGCCATACTTTAATTGGTCTCTCGTCCACTAATGAGTTTTGGTTCCCCCTTGTACCTCTCGACTCTCTTTATAGTATTGAGTTCTAAAAAGTTGGCTTTCTCATAGTTTTTATAGGATTATTCTTCGAAAAGCGAATTTGTTTTTACATCTAGAAATTGACAATGAGGGTCGTTTGAAAATAAAACTTTACGACAAAAGAGATGATTTTAGCTTCCCAATTGTGAAATTCCCATTTCTATGTAGCAACTTTCCAGCAGCGCCTACATACGGAGTAAATATCTCCCAGTTGATACGATATTCCAGTGCTTGTATTTTCTTTCATGATTTCCTTGATATACGGTTGCTGCTCACAAGTAAGTTTTTAAACCAATAGTTCCAAGTGGTGAAGTTGAAATCATGCCTTCGTAAATTTCACGGACGCCATCACGAGTTGGTTAACCCTTATGGAATATCCGTTTCACAGATGATAGCGGATATGTTCCAAATGTCGTAACTAAAACCCCGTCCCCTTTTCCTCGAATGTGACCTACCGAACTAGACTTATTACCGGGTTTGTACTAATATGAGCAACACAACGGGTGCCACATGTGGAGCAGGATCTGCTTACCCTTCAAGAGCACCTGAGATCATCCCCAGTTTTTGGTGGGGTTCGTGTTGCTCAGTTTTTAGTTTTCTATGTTGTGTCTTGTGTACTGTTGTTTGTCAGTTGGTCTTTTTTTTACCCATTGCGTTATCAGTTTATTTTCGGTTTATGAGTTTTAATGTCCCTTTGGTGTTTTTTGCCTCTCTTTTGATTCTTAATCATTTCTAAATTTAGAAAAGGAAAATTTAAGAAAGATTTGTCATAAATCATGTCAGTACCGAAGTATTTACCACGGAGTATAAGTGTCCGTAATAAAAGATATTGATATCATCTCTCCGTAAATTTTACGGACGCCATTGCAAATTGGTTGACCATTTCATAGATGAAAACGGATTTGTTCCAATCCCGTCCCCTTTTCCCCGAATGCGACCTAACGAATTAGACTTATAACCAGGTTTGTACTAATATGGGCAACACGAAGGGTGCCACATGTGGAACTTCTTACCCCTTCCGGAGCACCTGAGATCACCCAAAGTTTTTGGTGGGGTTCGTGTTGCCGTCTTAAGTTTTTTCAATGATGTGTTTTGTGTACTGTTGTTAGTCTGTTAGTCTTTTTCTTTTTAAGTCCTTGCATTATCAGTTCATTTCTGACTGATTGGTTTAAATGTCCCTTTGGTATCTTTCGCCTTTCTTATACATGAAAGCGCGTTAGATGCAACAAACTTATAAAGCGTTATTTTATTTTTCTACCACTAAATCGAAACCACTGCTGGTAGACTGTTAGTCCCAACTTGGTATTAGCAGCCTACTAGTCGTTGCTTCGGTACATACATGATCAGTAACATACTTTTGCAATTGAATTGAGAAATTATTATAAAAATTGACGTACCAACTCTCTCAGTCAGAGTTGACCTGGTTTTCATTTTAGGCCTTGTTTGATCATAGAGCTCTTTGCGTGTTTATGATGAGCTTAATTGATCAGCTAAACATCTTTGGCTCTCAGGTATTCATGTTATGAGCGTTGATTTTGAAGGAAAATCCAGAAAAGCGCTTTTTAGAAAACAATTAATGTTATAAATAAGTGTTTTTAATTTTTTTAACTGTCCATGCGTGCCTTTTCTGGAAGAATATATATTTTCTTGTTCTGCAGTTTACTTAAATTTCTAGATGTTTAGTTACAAATACATTTACAGTACTATAGATAAATGAAAAAAGATGCACATTAATTTCACAAATTTTATTTTAAAAAGTAAAAATCTACGGATGGCTTATGTCATGTTTAGATGTTGTAATGTACTCCTTGTGTCCTCGGCTTTCTTAATATCCTGTAAAATAAAAGTAATGTCAGTTAATTTGAAAATATTATGTATCTTTACACTATACAAATATCATAAATTAAACCCCTGCTTCTTTTCTATTTTGTTTACAGTTACTTCATTATTTCGATATAAAAAAGCTAAATATTGCTGAACATGAAAATAAACCAACTGTAATCGTTAATCAGATTGATATCGACCACTACCTTTTTCACAGTAAATGTATGGGATGGATATCTTTAAACAGAAATAGAAACTCGTTAGTTCGAAAGTTCGAATGGTGAATTTCCTATATCATACAGATATAATCAGAGTTAAATCTCTCTCTTAAATAAAAGATTAAGTGAGTTTTTTTTCTCCATCATCAGACAAATGATCGAAACCTACCTAGCTGACTCCATCTTGAATTAGATCTCCATCCTAAATTAGATCTCCTTCCTGAATTTGTTCCCCATCTGTTCAACCGTCCTAATCCACTGTCAAAATGACTGCTTCTGTGTGGATCATATGAGCCGTATCCAGTAGCTGCTCTTTTGTATCCTACAGAAGTTATTACTATTATTATATCTATTCTACAATTATTCCACGTCTTAGTTCAGAATGTCACGATATATTGGTGATTTAAAAATATATGTTAAATATAAACCTATTGACGCACTTTCATCTTAATATAATATGTAAAAGTTTCTTTTATTTACTTTACATCTAAATCAAAGTATATTGGGAATACAAATGCAACGATAGTATATACAAGTGAACACTTTTAGAAAGAAATACTCATGTGAATGTAAATTAGGTATACGAAAAGTGCTAGAATACTTTCGTTGGTAAAAATAAATCATTTGAAAAAGGGTACTTAAATTAAATTGTAAATATCAAGCCAAAACAGTAGTAAATGAAGCAGTGATGATGAATATTTGTAAATCAGTATCGATAACAAGGTAAGAATGTTGTAAAATATTACTTCGATATCCGCCATTTAATCTCCCTGTCAGACGTCCGCCATTCCAACCACTATTCCATCCATTGTTCACATTTCTACTATTCCATCCATTATTCAGACCTCTAGATCCGAGCAAATCCCATGATCTTTGATTTCTATTGTATGTATCATAACCGCGAGCAGTGGCCAAAGTAGCCATCACAGCAAACAAAATAACTACGACTAATGTATTCATGGTTTCTGTACAAAAATAAAAAAAGGTTTAATAACATCAACATTATTGTATCTTATTAATTGGGATTTAAAGTATTACTGATATATTCACGCTACGTCAGACAAAAATGACAATTCATAGAAAATGTTTACACCAAAATACTATTGAAAAGACTGCATTATAGACAATATGATACAAAAAGCCACTCATATTTAAAGAAATTTTTTCTAACTCATTTACACGAAAACCTACATAAAATCTAGTATACACATTTATCGTTGTCTCTCTTCCTCTGTCATTAAAAGACCAAATTGAGAAAACATTTTGAAGAAAAATATTTAGATACAGCAGTTCAATGCCCTTTCGAAGTACATTTTTGATAAAATTATGCATTTAAATTTAAGATATCAAACTAAAAAACTAAACTCAAAGTGATAGAAACAAATAAGGTAAATAACTAACCTGTGTTTTCTTTTCTCGAAAGTATTTGAAGATGGACAAAAAGACCAGGTGTGATAGAGAACACTGAGAAAGCATTCCACTTTTATACTATTTTGATTAAAGGAAATACTGCTAAATGGGGGAATTTTTTAAATCCAAAACCACACACAAAAAAACAACGTAGATTTAAATTTAAACAATCACAGGTTGGAAAGGTTACTACTATGACTAGCATGTCAATGTCATTGGATAGAAGCTAAGTATTTTATGTTAAGTTTATGGGCACATCTGTCATATAAAACATCCATTATTATGCATTCTGTTTAACATTAATAGGAAAAACAGTTAAAACATTTTAGAGTTAGAAATCGTAGTAAACTTCTTAAGATCAATATGAAGAGTATTGCAATAAATACATATTGCTTAATGCCTGTTACTTGTGCACGCTCTTTTATTTTTACCATTAATCTACTTTAATTCGAAAGAATGCGTTCATATTTGTACTATTGAAATGAAATCAACTTAACGTATAATTGCACACAAAGGTGCAATAATTGTATAGATGTGCACTTATCTTAATTGTTCGATGTGTCAATGCATAGTCACTTAATTTTCAATTATCAACCTTTAAAATGCTATCGATATATATAGAAATAAAAGCAAAATACGACTTAAATAAACGATTTTCGAAGCCCGGTGTCAAAATAAAATCAAGAAGATGTGGTATGATTGCCAATGAGAAAACTCTCCATCAGACATCAAAATGACATAAAAGTCAACAACTATAGGTCATCGTACGGCCTTCAAAAATGACCAAAGCCCATACCGCATAAAAAGATATACAAGGCCCCAAAATAACAATGTCAAACAATTCAACGAGAAAACTAATTACCCGGTTTATGAACCAAACAATAAACGCAAAACAATTATGATATACAGCAAGAAGCACAACCACTAACGAACATGCTCCTGACTTGAGTAAGTCACATACAGAATTTGACTGAATAAAACAAATTTGCGGAGGCCCAACCTTCCTTAGCATAAGAACAAACTATAACATTCAGATGAAAAAGGCATGTCCCATCAGATCGAAGCAAATAAAAAAAAACACCAAAAAACAACTAACAAAAGTATTTAAGAAACTAAGTACAACTGTAAGAACCGCAGTAACTAAATTGAATTTTTCTTGGAGTTCCGGATTTTTGTTATTTTACTTTTTGCTTGTGTTGACTAAGTTATTGCAACTTTATAAATATTTGAAAGAAGATCATAAAAACGAAATTCCAAGGTATTTTGTATGTTAATTTTATATACACAAAGTCGACATGATTATTTTGTATAGTAGACTTTGTAACCATACTACATATACATATATTTGCTTGAGCTATTTCAAGCATACCTTTGAATTTGATAATACAAGTACCGTGAAATTGAGACTCTTGTAGTTCAATGATTGTTGTTGGTATGCGTCCCAGAATAAGTCAAAGTATGATCAATATTCATTTCTTTTTTTACCCAGTATACCATTTTGCTACCTCTGCGTTTATGAATTTGGATTTGCAAATATTTTGGCATCGAGCATTACTGAGGAGACATTTATTGTTGAAATGCGCATCTGGTGCAGAAAAATTGGTACCGTTAATGTTATTTTAACATTTATTTTTTTAATGCAAAACATCATGATTATATACTCCTTTCTTCACATTATGTCTTCAAAATTGCTTGCATGTGAAATGATAAATAAACAACAAAATTTAATAAGCAAAACATACAGATTTACGCTCATCGATGTTGATAGTATAACCATGCTTCTTTCACAAATATCAATCATTAACAAATATTATTAATGTTCATGCAACAAACTTATAAAGGTGAAATATATTGGCATGCGTGACTTACACTATATCAATGAATCTGCAGTACACAGATTGAAATTTAACGTATAGGAATTTATATCACTACATTAAAAAAGTGCGGCTGCAAATCTCCAGGGTCATTATGCATAAATCATCTTTACGTAAATAAAGGCAACAGTTGTATACCGCCTGTTCAAAAGTCATAAATCGATTGAGAGAAAACAAATCGGGGTTACAAACGAAAACCGAGGGAAACCAATCAACTATAAGAGGAAAACAACGGAACAACAGAAACACTGATGTGCAACAAAAACAAACGCCAACATACATAGAAACGAACTATTTGATAACAACTGCCATATTCCTGACTTGGTACAGGACATTTTAAGGAAAAATGATGGGTTGAACCTGGTTTTATGGCTAGCCAAACCTCCTGGGCAATGTTGAAAAATATCGCTTAATTGACAACATTACGTGACAGAAATACATCACAAACAAACGCAAGAACACTCAGCACAGAGAAACGCACAAATAAATAATATAATAGTCGTTACAACATGTATAATAATAGAATGACAACGAACATCTTCCATTAACGACAGCACAGGACATCACAAACAGTTACGTATTTTGTAACAAATTTATAATCTTGAAATTCATACAATTATTTTCACAATACTAGTTCAAACAATTATCATGACTATGACGGTATTGAAAGGCTATTTTAAATAAATGCTGTGACTACGTCATAACTATTTGGACTAACACAATACTTTATCCATGGAAAATGGAAATTAACTCGACTATTCTGGCAAATTAGACATATGTGAAATGTACCAAAACTACAGAATTCAACCACACACGATAAGACATAACACAATATGCAATTTAAATGTTACTTAAACTTAGATTTCACTAAGATTTCCCTTAGTTAAGAAAAAGTCGTATATATAAAATTACTCAAGTCTTCGAATACTGAAACCGGAACATTTTCCAATTACCGTATGATATATGTTAGCTCATCGCATGTGCTCGTCCGTATTAAAGTTTGTTATGATTATTTACATTACACAATGTATACTTTTATTAAGAACTGGGGAAAAATTGATCTTGGTGTTTAAAAAAAATCTCAACTTAACCAACTAAAGTGTCCAAACAATTTGGCGCATATGGAGAAATTATAAGTGCAGGAGATATTCTTAAAAGATCCAAAAGAAGTGGGATAACTTATGCATGAAGTGATAAATGTAAAATATAAAAATATATCGAAATTATTCACTAGCAATTTTTTTTAATAGCAAACCAGACTTCAATCACATTAGGAGTCGCTAAATGGATGCTCAACATTATTGTGAAGCAAATAATCCATCTTAATAATGGTAAATCATGTTAGCAAATCTTAAGTGTCCCATCTCTAAGGCGGAGGGTGCATATTTTCTCGAGACAACCATATATATTTTTTTTTAACTCTGACGATATAGGATCAAGTTTAATTAAATCATTTATTTCTAAATGTATTTCGATTAGAAATATACCTTTTTTATCACTTTCCTTTCATCATAATAACAAAAAGGGGTTTTCATATCGAACCAAACCTATTTTTGAAAAATTTAAGGTAGCTTATACTTATGGATAATCTAGGCGTTTTCTTAGTTTGCGGGTGTTTTCTGCATACCTCTTACTTTAAGTGGGTGTGTCTTAAACTTATAAGAATTTGATTAGAAATAACTTACTTTCAGATGTTTTTATAGAATTCACCTTAACTAAGTGTTTACTTAAGAAAATCTAATCTTAAGTAGCTTTATGCATACGGGCCCAGTGGGTTATTTCAGATTTGTTAAACGCTGTTTGTATTGTCTATATGCATATTTATATATATATATTTCGGAAAAATACTGTTGCTTTTAATTTGATAAGTGATTCTCGACTAAGTAGTCTTATGAACAACAAGATCATCATTGTTAATCGTAAATGCACAGGTGCAGGTACATCAACATCTACGATAGCATTCCATTGAAACCGCTCCTACGGGTCGTTTTGAGCTTACAATTAGGTTATGCTATTGCTTTGTGTTGACATACAGGTGACAAGAAAGGATAAAGATGTTGTTCCGTTGCTTTATTATGAATTTTGTAATTATGTTCCTTCAGTTCCTCTCTATTTCTATTTTTGCCAAAAAGGCTCGAAATGAGCATTTGATAAAATATTTAAAACATGTATATTACCCAAATACAAGTCTCATTAAATATCAGGTGAACAATAAACAATAAAAACTAAATGTTTCCTAGATAAAAGGTTCTTTATTGAGGGAATTTCCTGATATTTGAGCTTATGCAAGATTATGATGAGCACACATTCCGTTTAAGTATTAAAAGTATCAAAGGAATTGCCACGAAAACTGAATGCCCTATTCAAGCAATCAGAAGCAATCGTCATATAAGTCTCTGTACCAAGTCAGGAATATGACAGTTGTTGTCCATTCGTTTGATGTGTTTTATCATTTGATTATGCCATTTGATTAGAGACTTTCCGTTTTGAATTTTCCTCGGAGTTCAGTATTTTTGTGATTTTACTTCTCCCTCTAGAAAATTGGTCTTTGATTTTTTGTTTCCTAATTGGTGTACTTATAAGAGGTCTTGGTGAGTATAAACTTTATGAATTTGAACTGGATCTGACTAAAATGAATGCATTATACCGGCGACAAGAATAAGTATGGTTTTTATGTTATAATCCCACATCTAAATAATTGTTCTGACTTCTGACTGAATGAAACCCTTAAGATGTAATATTCCACCGGCAGCGGAATTGCAGTGCTAATGCTAAAGAGAATGAAAATCTTAAGCGTTCAGAGCGCTTTTTATGATTTATTTTAATCAGGAAATTTCAAAGCCAAATTTTGAAAACCAAGGATGTAAAAGTACTGAAACATGGAAAAACAATGACCAAAAAAAAAATGATTATAGCTAAATCCAACATCGGTCAAGTTTGCATGATGGTGTTGGAACCATAGTTTCTTCATAATTTCAAATGATTTTACGGAAAATTTAAGGAAAAGTTCTAGGAAAAAGATACCAAACGATTGTTAAACTCAGAAGTCGAAAATAAATTGACAATGCTACAGCAAGAACAAAAAAAGAAAACCAAGAAAAAAAAACAAACAACAGTCAACAAAGCATATTATAGAAAACTAAAGATAGCACGAACGACCTACATATTATAGCCAAATTAAAAAAAAAATT